TTCCCGACGTAATTTGTGGCGATTTCCATGCGTTTTTCGCGGAGTTGCGCAATCGCCCGTTGCGCCAAGGCATCGACAAAAACTCGGCGAGATATTCCCGCGGGTATTTAACAGACTTTCGTAACCACCATTTTTATACGATCGCGTACGATCGTGCATCAAATAAATATATGAAGAAGTGACGTGTATTGCCAGGGTGGACCGCGAGCGAAGCATCGTTTTCGACGATCCCGACATCCGAGCGGATGTGGCTCTTGATGGCCGTGATGGTCAACCTGATACTGACATTAACCATCGTGGAAACGATTTATCGCGACTCCGGTTATCGTATCGGGGTGAGAAGAGAGCTTGAGAGGAAATCGAAGATCGTCCCGGATACGATGGCACGTTAACGCGGGGCGTATCCAGAACCGAATTCTCACTAGATCAAGCGCGTTTCTTGATTTGCATCTTGAACCGTGAAATCAGAGGTTTCGCGATCTTTTAGAGTCTTGAATATATCAATGATTATTCCGGGAACGACTAAAAAGAGATTGATAGAGACTTAATATTTCGTAATATCTACGAAATTGTCAATGCAGAAAATATAACAAGCTTATTAGAATATAACATAACTTAGACACGTCTCCACGCTTAGTAACAGTAATTTTTACTAATTCCATCATTATTTTAATTCACAAAACTCGAGTAGATATTTGTTATTTATCACGAAGAAGAACTGCAATAAATAATTCATCAGTGGATTTGAAAGTAAATGAATATTCTAGAACACAATGGGATATATAAAGCGCGGGTGAAAAGGATGGAGGAGTTTCCTTTTCGAAGTGGACGTGGCGAAGCTTCGAAATTACCGACTCTCCGTTAGCGAGAATCCATCTCGAGCAATATAAACTCTGTTACACGCAAGTTACACCGTTCCTCGAACAACCCTATTTCAACCAGCGCGACGTCTCGCCAGTGGACGAGAGATAAGTTTTCTTCCCCGGCAGGAGAACGATCGGCCGTAGTAATTGAAGCGTTTAAAGTTCGATTCCATGGATTTCGCATAAACTCGCGAACTTAAGAGGACAGCCGTGCGATCGGGGAACATTGATAGAATCTCGGTAGTATGAAACGCGAACACGAAGGGGTGGTGCTCGGCTAAGGGAGCGACGAACGCAGTCGGGCAAACTTCCGTAATATCCTCGTCTGCTCGACGAACGGTGAAGCGACATGCGGCGACCTAAAGCAGGTATTAAACTTAATATATAGCCGCAATTAGGCGCAGGCTTTCGCCCTTTTCGCGTACCCCACGCGCACGCCGTGTGTCGCCGGGCTTTTGCCCTCTGTTAAAACGGACCACCGTCTGTCAGCTATAACTCCTTTAGCTCCGAATCACTCGCGACCTGCTGTTAATTAACGGAAATTCGTAAGCAGAAATCACGCGCGTCAGCACTAATCACTGTCACCCTGGCATCGTTTGATGTCGCGTTTTAATTGAATCCAGAACGCTCTCCCGCCACGCAGATCGTTTTCGAGGATACGCGAGAAATTATGTAAAAGACTTGTTCTTTCCGAACGCCTCTTTCCGTTCGCATCGTCTGGCTGTATAATTGTTATGAATCCGTTGATTTATGATTAATCAATTATCAATTATAAATGTGTAAACTCGGCTTATCGTGTTGTTAACAAACAGTGAAAGCGCAATAAAACGAACGAGAATGGTCGTTGTAGAGCGTTATAGAACGGAAGGAGGGGATTATCTATTGCGCGAGACGCATATTACACGGTTCTTTCATCACTTTTTCTTTCTTTTTTTTTTT